CGTCATGAAATTCTTCTGCAGACCATTGTAATACACAAAGACTGTAAATCCCTCCAGGCTTCACAAAGATTTGTGCAGAGATTATAAATGAGCAGCAGATTAGCGCCAGATGAAAAAATCTGTTCTGTTAGAGAGCTAATCTCTTCAGTCAATGGCCGGGTTTGTTGTGCATCTTTGTGTCGAGGTCTGACAAATCTCTCTCCCTGTATTTGGAATTTCAGTCAAGATCAATGTGTCGATTTGGATCGAGTCTTTTGTCTTCTCAGATGACTGACCCCCTCTCTGGCATCTCCGCTGTGCTTCTGCCTGATGCAGGCAGCATGGCTGTACCAGAAATGCAGAAAGCAAACTGTGAGAAAGCTGAAGATAAGGACCTAAAAAAGAAAAGAATTCAGAAATTTAAATGCAACTGCTTCCAAAGCCAAGGGCAGAATTGAGGAGGCAGGAGAAGGCTGTTCTGCTGAAAAGAGTAGCTGTATGTGCATCACACTGTCCTCAAGGTACAAAAATAGGTCTTGCTGTTTTCAGCATCCCATGGCACAAAGGGCAGTGGAAGATCAGTATCTCCTCCTTGCTTGTCGTGCTTTCTCCCATGAGCAGTCACACCTGGAAATCCAGTTTGAACTTTGTGGGACAGTCAGGCACTGTAAGGTTAAAACAAAGAGGAGCGATGTTATGAACACCCAGGCTGAATGCAGCTCTCCGTATGCCGTGCCAGGGTGGTACAAGGGAGCACAGCCAATGGCCTTGGCACAGGACTAGGAGCTAGTTTTGCCTGAGTTTTAATCCTGGCTAAATCATTGAATCCGTGATCTCTGACAAGCTACAGAATGTAGATATAGAAAAGTCTTATTAGTCCACATAATCCAGTTGTCTACAATATAGGCTTAGCCTGTAATCTTTATTCAGTAGTATTTCATGAGATGGAGCTTCTGACACTCTACCTGTGGTACAGTTGTGCAGTCTGGTATTCTCACAGTCAGGAAAGTCTTCCGTTTTGTTGCTTTAAGATGAAAGTATTAAAAAAAATTCCCCGTTTTTTCCCCTTTCTGCCCATATCATGAAGAGCCACATTGGAAAACAGGTCTTCTAAATCCTAACACATCTAAACAAAAAAGGATTGAGGTAAGCAATTCCTCCTATAAACAGAGCTGTTCAGAAATCAGCCGTGTTAGTGGTGTCTCTTGGCCTGCCCTGCAGGCAGCCACCCTAAGGGCAGGCTGTACTTGTCCCCTTCTCCTCGCTGATCCACCATTGCCTCCTGCCAGGCCAACTGGGCTTGATCACAAGCTGTGACCCGGTAGCAGGAATAACAGCAAATATACCTTGTATAAAATGAAATGCTCTCATCTGTCCACAGGAACATTAAAAGAGCTAGGAAAAAAACGTTTAAAGTAACAGAACCCTAAAATTAATGTCTTACCTAAAGTAGGTTTTTTCTTGTTAGTGTAAGCATGATCCAGTTAGGTTAGGTACTTAAAGCTTGGAAGGTTGCCCCTTCCAAGTGCTCCCACTTAAAAGTGCATTTCCCCTTTCCTTTGAGTCTCTACTTTTTATCTGCATTTTGATTAGAAAGTTCCTACGTGAGAGCCCACAGGGATTCTAGCAGGGGTGTTTCATATCACCTCATCCATTTGCCCTCTGTTCCACATCCTCATAGGTGATGCCTCAGGTAAGCATCCTTTTGAGTACTGGTAATTTGGTTCCACTTGTACTCACTGTGTTGCACGTCTACAATCCAAAATTAACGAGATTTAAACTGGATTTAAACTGGAGAGTTCGTCAATATTAGAAAGAGCTCGAAACAGCTATTTGTGTGTCTGTGCTTTATTCCCCAAATGCTTAAGACTTTACCTGTATTAATAAATTAAATTTAGGAACATTCCCAAGCACTGAAATCCCTGTGATACGGAGTGGGCTGCGCGTGTGCCTGCAGGCCAGGCAAGATACAGCAGATGCCTACAATTAGACAACTGAATCAGACCCAGATCAGGTATCTCTCACTAATGGTGACCTGAGAGACAAAATTAAATTACTTTTTCTTTGGAACACGTGTCAAAAGTTATGTCAACAAATAAGAATAACAAATTATTACCATCATCTAAATGCATGAGACTTTTACTAGTGTGCAAAATGCCTCCTTTATACACCAAAGCAAAATGAACACATGGGAGTTATCTCTGCAGGATTTGGTTCAGCTCCAGGTTGTAGACACCTAAAACTGATGTCTAACTGCAGGTATTTTTGTGTGAGCTACAGTCTGTGTTCTTGCTGTAGTCGATGAGTATGTACTCAGTACAGCCCAAGGACCTAGAAAGCAATCCAGCTAACAAGACACAGGAATTTTCTTCAAGGGAAGCTGAATTGCTCTCCAGACTCCATTGTATGTATTAACTAGACAATTACATCCTATCCGTGTTGTCTGTGCACTCTGTCTTATATACATATAGACAAATGGTATGGTCTGCACAAGGTAAAGGCAAGGCTGTATTGCCCACAGAACTCTCCCTAGGGCCAGTGTCAGATCTGTCCCCAAAAGCCTTGTGTTGTCAGGTGCAGTTTTGTCAGAATTCTTACCAGTGCTTGTGGTCCCAAAGGCCTCCCTGCGTTTTCACAAATCAAGAAGACTGCACTTGCTTGGATCCTTGTTTTCTTTGATTGCTTGATCTGACAAATTATCGACTACGTCCACAAAAGCAGAAGAATGTAGCATAAAAACAAGCCACGGTCAGGCAATCCATGATTTTCTCTCTGAGAGTTAGGAGAAGTGTTCTGGAGGTCCTTCTGTTGATTCCCCAAGCGTGGTGGTTGAGTCCATGTAGTGTATCTGATATCAGGAGCTGCTGAACAGAAAAAATAGTACCTTTGGTTAATGCAAACAAAATACAATGAGGAGTGTTTTCTTGGACAAACCCGTCAAAGGAGTGCGGTGATTTGGTTGTGTACTTTCAATATTGTTATTGCTGGGTTATCCAGAAATGTCTTCAGTTAAGGAACAGCTGGTATTTTCCTCATGGACACAAGCCTTTTATCTCACCAAGTAATTTTTTAAACAAATTAACTCACATATTGCACAAATCAAATAATGTTGCATGTAGAGGTCTAATGTGATTTCTGGTTAATGTTTTGTTGACAATTTGACTCACTTTATTTGACTGTTTTGTACTCAATTTCATATCAGTTAATGAAACTGCTACACTACTGTGGTTAATTTCCCCATTAATTAATTTAATTCTTTATGGCATTAAGGAAAACAGCTTATTATATTACACAGAAATAGGTTATGAATTAACATACCTCATTACGGATACATTGGTGTGTATATATATTCATCTACAACGCCTAAGTGAACTCCTATGGTTTAGCTGTCCTATAAATAACCTCTAGCTAGGCAATCACAAATGAGCAAAACATTTTTTGCAGATGTGAAAATCCTTTTTTGCCTATAAAATCACTGCAATAAAAAACAGAAGATGGTTATGACAGATCTGGGTCATTAAGACGACGTGATGTGCACTAGCAAGATGTCAGAAGCAGCAATGTATGGAGTTCTTTTAGAGACAGGGGATACAAAGGACCTCCTTGGTTGCCAGGTCTCATCCCTTTCTGTCACGTCAAATAATCTCTTTGGTAAAATGATCAAGCTCCATCTTTATCCATTGCTCACCTCAGAAGACTCTTCTATTTCTGTAGTGATTAGAAGCCTTTTATTAATTTGTGATTCAGGTTTTTTAATGGCTAATTCATTTTATTTTTTTTTTCTTGTGGCTGCATCGTTTTCAGTTTTTTTCCTTTTCACGTAGGCATGATTTGAGTCATGCACAGCATTCTGGATGAGGCCTTAGCAGTGTTGTCCACAGCGCATTAATACTTTTTTAACTCACTTGAGACTGCCCAGAATCACGTTTGTCACAGCCTTGTCACTTTAATGCACCTAGTGACCAAGATACCTGGCTCTTTCTCCTCTGTTGTTTCCAGCAGAGAAGTCCCATAGCTGAGATTATCATTTATTCTCAAGGGCAAGATCTTGCACTTTGTCCCATTAGTTCCTGACCCTTTTGGGACAGAAATCTAGCATTTTGTATTCTGTGAGAAATTCCAGTAAGAAGATTTTAAACTTAACTTTTAAAAATGAAAACTTCTAAAAGCCTTTACCAGGATAAGTGGGATGATGGAGAACCTTATGATTGCTTGGACCCTAGGACCTCAGTTCAGTTACCCGCACATCGGTGTCTAATCCCATAGGAAGGATGCTCCACATGCTTCTTCAGAAGGACATCAGCTCCCCATTTGTCACAGCTGCTGTCCCTGAGCAAATGTTCAAGTATCTTGCAGGTAGACAAGTGAATCCTGCCCTAGGGGTGAGATTCAGGTCCCGATTCAGATCATAGCCATCAGGTTAGGTCTTCAATCTAGGTATCTACAAGCAAATTAGATGTTTAAAGCTGTGCTTGAAGTCATTAGGTAGGTAGTAGAGCAAGTGAGTTCTGGACTTGAAAGAAGTTGTAAGTTCCCATTGAGACAACAGACCATGAGGTTGCTTGCTAAAGGCTTTTTGGTGTTTCAGAGGAAAGAGTAAAAACATTTACACCACAATCAGGAAGAAATGAGAAATAATAATGATGGTAACATACATCTCCCATTTATTTGTTTTTGTTCTTCAGCTGTCCACTAAGGCAGTAATGTTGGAAGGCAGAATGTGAATGAATCTGAACAAGTCAATAGGAATTTTGAGAATTTTGAGCTAGTGTAATTCAGCCCGCAAGGCAGTGCTCCTCTACCATTTATTCTTGTTGTCTTCAAGGCTTCTTATGTAAATATTTGGGATTTTGGCAGGGTGCTTTCTCTTTGTCAGTGAAGTGAAACATTTGCTGCGAGCATACTGAATGAAGTCTGCTTTGTAATTATTTGCAGTAACAACTCAGCAACGGAGACTTACGGTTGTAAGACTGCCAATTCTGTATTAATATGATCTTCTTTTCTCCCTCTCCCGGCTGCAGCAAACACGCAGTTGGTGTAGGAAGTCTACAAAGCAGAACAAGCAACCATATCCATCTGTGTCAACAGATTCCTGCTTCACCACTCTGCCAGCCCTTCCTCCTCAAGGCCACCGATCTGTCCCTGAACAACCAAAAGAAGCAGAACAGAACAAGGTACATCACGCAAATGGCCTTGGTCATTATTTTGGTTTCTCCCAGCAGGACTTGAGACACAGTGATCGAGAGGACTTCACACGCAGATCCAGCAGTGCCTCCAGCATTTCATGGTCATTTCAACGAAGCAAGTCTCTATTCTGCTTGCCCACAGCAAACTCCTCCTTAGCCTCAGAGACTTTTCCTTTCAGTGAACCGTTTCAGTTTTTAAATACTGGATCACCTGCAACCAGGTTAAAAACATGGAGATGCAGCCCCAGGCTTAACATTGATGACTTGGAGGGTGCCCAGGAGACTGATGTAGACACAGGGATGAAGCTGTCCTTCTCAGACCTGTCTGTGGTCTCTGCATATTCTGCCCTTAATGGATTTTGCAATGACTTGGAAGCCTCTCTTCCCCCACAGAAAAAAAGACTTAGTAAGGCTAAACAGGCGGTCACCAGTGGAAGGCCTGTATCAGCCATGTGCAATACCTTGGGCTCAGTTGACGGTTCATTGCCTTCTCTTTCTGAATGGTCTTCCAGCTCATTCATGTCAGCATCTCTGTCTGAGCAGCCCAAACAGTCCTTGAGAGCAGCTCCTTGTTCTCTGGATGGTCGTGGCAGTGTTTGCCCAGCTTCACCAGCTAACGAAGAAGAATTTTACATCTGAGGTTTCTCTCTCTTACACCTTCCAGGGCAAGCATGTTGTGTTTGTGAATGACAGCAGTGGGTCCACCTTGAGCTTGCTGAAGGTTCCTCACTACGGAGAGGTGGTGCAGCAGAGCATGCTAAATATCTGAAGAAAGCACTCGGATCCCTCAGAGATGAGTGTCTCCAAACTGTACAGTAAAGCAGTCTGAGCTTGCACCCTGTACCTTTGTATTGGAGATAATCAGCACAAAGGCTTGTCCATGGCAGTGCGAGGGGGATGGTTTCTATGACTGACCCTTGGACTGGTGGTGAAGGAAATAGCAGAAGAGGCAAATAGCAATCAGGTTTTCTTTGGCAGAAAATGAAGAGTAATTTGTGATACCAAACTCCTTTAACTTTCCTGAGAAATTCCCTTAAATCAGGAAAGATGGGAGGAGAAAGGGGTCTTATTTCCCTTTCACAAGTTCCAAAGGCATCTCTAAGCACAGCAGGTAGTACGTCTCCAGTAGAGTCAGGCAAGATGTTTCATGTGAGGACACACACACAGTTCCTTCTAACCTCTGAGAGCTGGCAGTGCTGAGGCGGGGAAAAGCTTCGCTCCTTCCCCAGGGAAGAGGAAGCTCTGCTGTATCTCTTACTTTGACAGCCCAGGATACAGAAAGTGCCAAAAGGGAAACCTTACAGAACATTTTCAACTCATCCCCTCAAAAAGCCCATCCTTTCCAGTTGGAAGGGAGCCATCTGGGCTGTTGGCTGAACCACTTGTGTGGTAACCCAAGTAAATAATGTTTGCTGCTTCTAACTCAGGCAGTGCAGAGCTTACCTGCATTTTGGAATACAAAACAAGGAGGACAACCCAGCAGTTTTATATATTGTTACACCACTAGTCCCAAATATATGGCAGCTCCCTATTTTTTAAGGGGTTGACTTTTTTCTGTTAAAAATAAGTAGTGCAGAAACTTATTCTTCATATTTACAGTGCAAGCATACATCTTTCTGAGTAAAACACATTTCTTCTCAAATACCTCTCTCCAAGGGGAGAACAAGTCAAATTTTACTGGCTTTTCAAGGCATATTTTTAAAATACGCATTCTTGACAACCTGTTATGCTCCAATTAATTTAGTATTTAAAAAACAAGTAAATAAAAAGCTGTTAATATGACAGCTAAGTACCTTAACCACGATTTAAGTTGTATATACCGATTGCATCATGCATGTTCTGAAAAGTTACATTTTTGGCAGAGAAATGGTGCTGATTGCAGCTCTGGCCTAGCCAGTGAGAAAAATGACGACATTAAAAGGTGTATGTATACTACTGTATACATACTATATACATGTACAGACGCTGAAGACCTACCATGGTGACATTGTGGTGGATGGAATAAAAACACATTTGTGGAGAAAAATGTTTGCTGTATTACCAGGTAGTTTTACTCAGAAGAACTGCTACTTTGAAAAAAAAAAAAAACAAAAAACAAAAAAGAAACAAGCTGGAGGTACATACTTGAAATAATAGTTACAAAAAGTGGAGCAGCTCCCCATGCCCATTTAAATAAATGCACAGTTTGTACAAACAATTTTGTAAGAAAGCTTGGGAGAAATTGAGTACAGGGTTATAGGGGAGGAGGGGGGATGCCATTAAACCTGCGCCCCCAATCCAGAAGAGGCCAGAGGGATAGTCAAGAGTCAGGATGCTACTCCTCAAGGCTTTTTTCTTTTGCTGTCATTTGCTCCACACAGGGAAGAGGCATCAGGCTGAAGTCCAAGTCTCCTCTTTGTGAGATGCTATCATAGCACGTACCAGAGGCAGACCTTGTCTTTTGTCCTAAACACAATGTATAAATAGGAAAATCTATTCAAGCTCTAAGACTGCAGGAGATTATCAGCCTCCTCTAGCCCTCCAGCTGTTTAGGCTTACTGCAGTTTTGGGTAAACTGCTCTCTTAAGAAATGTCTGGGACCAAAAATAGCACCAATGAAGGATTTATCATGATGTGCATGTGTTTACCTGCTCTATACTCCTTCAGAGTCCATGCAGTCTTTCCTCTGACTTTTGTGGCCTTTAGATCAAACCTCATCTGAACACAGCAGACCTGATTTATCCAAAGTTGTGCTCCCTGTTATTGTTTGTACCCTGTCAAAATACTTGTAAAACACTGTAAGGTCAGACGAGCAGTTTTTTCCATCAGCTTGCAATTCACCATACAAGCAGCAATGACTAGGACAGTCAGGCTCCACAGGTTTAAACTTATTATTCATTTTTTTCTGTCATATTCGTGGTAGTACAAAAATAAATTATGATATAGCATTGTATATTTATGGGACAGCCATTTTATCAATACTAACCACTTCCAGATATGACAACCAACAGGATAAATTTGGTTCAAATCTGTTACAAATTTTAGTATTCATTATTTGGAACAGGGGAGGAAAAAAAAGCCTTTTCACAATATTTTAATAATATAGATAACATTTGATCTGAACACAAAATCAAAAGCTGGTTTGAGCTGATGTGTCTGTCTGATCCTGGAATCAAGCCAACATCCAGACTCCTGACAGAAGCTGATTGGGGCTTTTAATGAAGAGGAGGCTTTGAAGCATCTTTCCGCCTAGGGTCTGCCTCTGCAAGAAGGAGTTCAGCACATCTGTGACCGTCTCCTGGTGTGGCAGGAACCACTGGTACTGGAAGTCTACAAACAAGCGTAGGATAGCTCAAGTGTCAATTGTGAGGATCATGTGTGGCATTAACCAGCAGCTCCACAAACATCTCTGCTCCAGATTTTACCATGTTAATCCTAATGGGAAGAAAGCCAACTCAGCTTCCACAGACTCTGAATTCATGCTGTCTCCACTGGTTTTGTCTCCAAGTATTTCTGTTCTGTTTATTGATACTTAACTGGAAATGAAAGTTTTAGTTGTTTACATTCATGGTGCTTGTAACCAAATTCTGCAATAACTGAGTGTCCTACTGTCAGGAAAAACAGAGATGATAGTGTGCAGAAAACTTTTTGTCTGTAATAAAGCAAGCCAGACTTTGAAGTGTGTTTCATTGAAGGTAGGCTTCATTAATTCTCTTCTCATTATTTAAGAAGGAGCTGATCTCTTCAGAGAGTTGAATATGCACAAGTTTCATGGCATTTACTTATTGTTTTGGTTAAATTATGAACAATGTCATTTGAGAACTGCAGGTTTTCCCTGAACTTTCTCTCCCTCTCACCCCAGAATGCATTCCTTCTGTGAAATAAAATAGAGATGAAGAGTCAGTTGTGCTTAACCTTCTGCCCGTTCATTTATGAAGTATTGCAGACTCACTGACTATTTTAACTAGGCTTCAAAATGACCTCAGTGACACCAGCTCTCCAGTGCTTGGCAGTGTGTGTCGGTGGAATAATTACAAAGTAAACATAGCAAAAGTATTTTTATGTTGGACTCAGCTTTGCTTCTGCAGATCAGATCTTTTGATTCTCACTGTGGTGTTGTAAATCATTTGCTCCAGTAAAGCTAAATGATCAAATAGGAGCTGTGACATGTACTGGTAATCTTGCATGCTTAAATCCCATCTTGGTTTGTGTCATGTCCATTGGTCTTCATAATAGTCCTTCCCTCTTATTTCCATCAGTGTGTGGTGTTATCTATTATACATTTCTTTATTCCTCTCATGGGACGTGTCTGCAAGTCAACATTATGTTGTATATACAAAGCTATGTAGGTTTGACTTTGTTTGGTTTTTATGGGTTTATGGTTTAACATTGTGGGTTTTATATATGTTTATATGGCAGTTATAGAGTCATAGAAACATCAGGAGTTGGAAGAGCCCTCTCGAAATCGTCTAATCCAAAGTATCTGCTGAAAGCAGGCACAAAGCTGCTCAAACCTCAAAGCTTTCAAGTTAAATCAGGTTGTTCAGGACCTTGTCCAGTCAGGTTTGAAAATACCCAAAGGTGGCAATTTTGCAGTGTCTCTGGGCAACGTGTGCCAGTGCTTAACCACTGTCATGGCGAAGAATTCCTTCCTAATCTGCAGTCAGAGTTTCCCATGTTCGAACTTGTGATCTTTCCCTCTTCTTTCACTGTGTACCTCTGAGAAACTCTGGCTCTGTCTTCTCTATAATCTCTCTTTAGGTGTCGGAAGACCACAGTTGCTCCCGAAGCCTCTTCTTGCACATCATATGCCCTAACTCCCTGATCATCTGAACTCTCTCCAGTTTGTCCATATCTCTCTTGTACGGGGGAACCCAAAACTGTACGCAGCCCTCTGGATGTGGTTTGAGGAGTCCTCACGAGGCAGGAGGAATAATTTCCCTCAACCTGATGGCAACTCTCTTGCTTATACCACCCAGTATGCTGCTGGCCTTATCACTGCACGGGTGCAGGACTTAATCACGTTCAACTTGCTGTTCAGTGGGACCCCAAGATCCCTTTCTGCAGAGCTGCTCCCTAGGCAGTAGGCACTTGGCGTGTGCTGTCATACCAGCTTAGTCCATGCCAGGTGCAGGATTTGGATTTGTCTTTATTGAACTTTGTGAGGTTCTCGTTGGCACCTTCCTCCAGCTAGCGAAGGTCTCTGTGAGCGGTAGCCCTGCCCTTCAGTCTGTCAGTCACCCCTCACCCAGTTGGGGGTCATCTGCAGACTTGCTGAGAGTGCATTTCATCCCCTTATGCAAGACACAGATGAAAACGTTGAGCAGCACTGGATGCAGTGTTGACCTCAGAAGAATGCCACTTGCAGCTGGCTGCCAGTTAGACTTTAAGCTGTTGTCCAGTACCCTTTGAGCCTGACAGTCCGGTCTGTTATTCACCCATATTGTAGTGCACCCATCTAGTCCATGTTTCCTTGATTTGGCTACAAGGATACTGTGGGAAACTATGCTGAAAGCCTTGCTAAAGTCAAGGAAAATTACATTCACTGTTCTTTCTGCATCCACCAAAGGAGTCATCTCAACAAAGGTGGCAGTCAGGTTAGTCAGACATGGTTTACTGTTGGTAAATACATGCTGGCTTTTCCAAATCACCTTCTTGTC